AGTTGATAGGTGATCGAGAAACAGCTTTTGTAATTGGTTGGAGCATTGGACGACCCACTCGTTACGCTATTCGCATTGTGTGACGCCTGGTTGTTCCTTTGCTGTTTTAAGACGTTTTATTACTCATACTAACGAGATTCCTTTTCCGACATCAAGCTTCGCTAAGGTAAGTTTGCATTGGACTTTCAAGCACAGGCGTGGTTCTGCGGTAGAATGCTGGGCTGGCACGCAGGGGACATGGGTTCAAATCTCGCTGTGTCCTTAATGTTTTTATTTACTAAATTCAATTTTTCTTATTTCTTTTGATATTGGTTACGGACACCGGCGGCGGCGGACAACTACGGCAACGCGCGCGACCCTTGTTATAATCTCATAACAGCTTTCGCTGTAGAAATTGATAATTACATACGAAGGTGCGTTAAACCAGCTCCTTTCGATGGAAGGTGATCTTTGTACACGGCTCAAATTTATAACAGCAAATTTATAGGTCCTAACAGCATTATCATCCGTGGGTGATCCTATAGACTTAGCTTGAATTACGGTGCGATCTCAAAGCATTGCAAACATGCATGGGAGCAGGAGATGGGGGGGGGGGGGGGGGAGTGCGGGATGTGGTACATTGCGGCCTTATTTTGCAAGTAGATCACATGAGCTTCCGTTATCAATTGAAACGACGACGAAGTACCACACGAAAGTCAATAAACGTTATTGCAAATGCGCGAAGTAACAGCTCTCGACTGCAGTTTCGGTATACAGCGTTGCAACCCATAAGCAAGCTTTTTTTGTTTTGCTTTCCTTTATGAAGGGCGCCAAAAGTGGCAAGGTTTCTCGCAAGAACAGCAACCGTCAGGGCTGCTTGGACCAGCACTCGCCTGTATGTTCCACCTGCGTGGCATGTATAATCATTCTCCCAATAAGTATCTTTAGAGAGTACGCTAAGAAAAAAAAACATAGAAAAACAGTTAAGATAAAGTAATACTAAATTTGTCACTCTAGTTTCATAATTTTTGTGAAAGAAATCGACTATATTAAGAGAAAAAGTGAACGTGAAACTATACGCCATGGCGACCGCACTTCGGTGAAGGCGAAATACTAACGGCACGTTTACCTATAGATTTAGGTGTGCGAGGCCGACATTTGCGGAACCCTATACACTACGGCGTACCTCACGATCATATCGACATTGTGGCACGTAAAACCCCAGCCGTTATTATTCAACGACTGCTTTTACGTGTTCAAGTCCGCATCCGCTATTGCAGCTTCAATACGTCAGTACGATGTCCTATATTTCGCAGCATAGTTTATCGTATTTGGGATGTAGCTTCTCAGGACTGTCCAATTTTAGTGTAGGTTACTTATTTCACTTCTTCACACAATAGACATAGCGCATCTTCACGAATGGCAGATTAAAAAAAAAAAACATCAGGCCTGAGTAGATGATGTTCACGTTTATGACGTCACAATGCAGGTACATCATAATAGTGTCACCCCTAATTTTACGCTTTCGCTTGTTTTCTGGTGTTGCAGAAACGTAATTTACATATAGATGTGTGCTTTATTATTATTATTATTATTATTAGTAGTAGTAGTAGTAGTAGTAGTAGTAGTAGTAGTAGTAGTAGTAGTAGTAGTAGTAGTAGTAGTAGTAGTAGTACCCCCCCAAAAAAAGAGTCAGGATGTCACAATACCACTGAGTGTCAGCGGCAGGTGTGCTCCTGTCATCCTGCCTTTCGTGGGGCAGCTGTGTTGACGTTCGTTAGCATGCACCTACATATGCCTGTATTCTGCGTTGAAAAGAAAAAAAAATGTACTATTTGACAAGAACCACTGCTACAGTGTCTAGTACTACTACATTCACTGCCAACGTGCAAGAGGAAAAACAAATAGAAGGAATGAGGGAGGAAGAGGAAACCGGGGAAAGAAATGTCGCAACGAATGCTTGAAGAAAACACTCGTCTCACGCTCAAACTTGACAGAAAAAAAAAAGTACCAGACTGGGTTATGTGAATTGCCGCTATGGATGTGTGCAGTTTTGAAGGAAATAAATGTGGAGGGCAATGATATTTTGGAGAAAACAGAGACTCTTCAAGTAAGCAAAGTGAATCAGCGTTCTCTTCACTGCGAACAAAAGTATGTCGACGAAACTACCGGCGCATCGCGACACATGCGTCGCACGAGATCGCCGAAGTGCCCGAGATCCAAGGCAGAATAACGTCTGTACATAGCCGGATGAGGCAATAAGAAGGGTGACCGTTCTACATCGCTCACTTGTTTATTTTATTCTTTGTGCGCGGGATTCTTGCGCAGAAAAACCAGAGTTATGAGGGCATGACGCAACGGCTTCTCTCACAGTTGGTATGTGTTAATTCTTCCGAACACGTATCCTACCGTCGGACAGTGCATTTTACTGCGACCGAAGGTCGGGTTTTCCTTCAGACAGGCAAGTTATAACGGCTATACTGCGCGATTGACTCATATATAGAGCGGACTCTTCGCTGAGTGCACTTAGCGATGAGATGGCTACGTTTCTTTTTGTTGTTGTTGTTAATAAAGAGAAGCTTTCTTTGTGGACACACCCAGCTTTTACTGTCCAACGACCATTGATGATATCTTGCCGAATAGCTTATACATGCATAAGTTTGTTTGAGGGTGCAAGATAGGACGTAGTTAATTCAGACCACCGCTCTAACCAGTAAGCAAAACTTGCATTTTCTTTCGTCTTCGACGCAGGAAAAACAGACGATTACGTTCTAAATGTGCTATACGCGAACGGGCTACGCATGAATGGTTGAGAAATAAAAAAAAACGCCCGCGGAGAGAGAAACTTTATTGACATAAAGCTAGAGGTCAGCCTGAGCCATACAGTTTGTCCTGGCCTGTATACTATATACCCTGGGGAAGAGTGACAGAGGAGTGAGAGAGGGATGAATGACGACGGTAAGGTAGAGAGATGAAAATATGGTCTTGTTACACTGGGGTAACTATAAAGACGTGCATCCAATCCAGTGGTTTCTAATAATCCTACGGTGGCTCCTGTAACCCCATTTGTACTGCTAGAGGCTTTCATGTTTTCCACCTAACACTACCTCATCAGTCAGGGGTCGACTAATACATCGTCCAATCGAAAATATCAGTTGCTGACGTTCACTTGCGTACGTTGGACGGGTACGAAATACATGTTCCAGCGTTTCTGGCGATTGACAGTGGCCACAATCGGTACATGTGTCATTACAGCCGATCAAACGGGCGTAACGTTTCGTGTAAGCCACGCCAAGACGAATGCGACGAATAATGCGTGAGATGCTTCACTTTAGCTTGTAAGGCATACGGAAATTAATTTCTAGGTCCAATTAGTGCAGCCAATTACGGCGGTGTTCTGGTCTGTTCCAGTGCTGTAAGATGGAGTTGCGCATGACACGTCGAAGTAAGGCATTATGTGTCTGTTCGAGAAAACGCGAACAATGCACACTTACAGGGGCATTATTTAGGGCTCTTTTGGCTTCAGCGTCAGCCTCTTCATTCCCCATATTACGCCCCAGTGAGCAGGTATTCACTGGAGTTCTTGCTACACCATGTCCATTTTTTGTAGCAGTGCCAAGAAGCTCTTTGTAATAAAGTGTGATATGGGCCTTATTTCACGAAGTCATCGACGGTTTATAGAGCAGCTTCGGCATCGCACGGTATCACCCATCTACGAGCGGGCACTGCGGACATGAAACGTATTGCTATACCGAATTACAGCAAGTTCTGCGGCAGTTGATGTGATCTTGTGATCTATCTTGAAACTTCAAGCTATCTGCGGGATCACAACGGCTACGGTGGAAGTGCATGATGTGGTTGATCGATCAGTATATACGCGTGCGTCATACATTATATAAATGTGCAGGAGCAAAAGTTACTTTAGGCCGATTTATTATACAAGGGAGTTCTTTATATTTCCAGGAAAACGTCTGCAGAAAATGCGTGCCAGCAAATAGGTTTTGCACACGTAAATGTCTGAAGGGTGACGTGTTGTTTCGGAGGTCCAAAACAGCTTGTGGTAGGTTATGAAGCCCCACAAAATGTCTACGCAGTTTTTCCGAAGATAATAATGATAAGCAGGGAAACTTTCCAAGCGATTGGGATGTTCGAGAGCTTAACGAATATTGAAACACCTCTTTCATTCCTTTCTCTGTCTTGAAGTGAACAAAAGCAACTGATAGGAATCCAAGGTTCAGTGTTTTGATGACAAGTTTGTTACTTTTGATTTCTCCGCAATAAATTGCTTCTGCGCTGTGACTCGTCTAGCTCCGTGAAACCCTCGAAAATGGTTATTGATGCTAATTCCACCATTATCACGAAAATTTTGTTGATTAAAAATGCTGATTGGTCACTTTTCCGCATGACGTACCTGAAGACACATTCGCGGATAGCGTGCCTTCAGGTCAACTCCACTCATTAGCAAGTTCGGTCAATCTCCGGCAGCATCTGTCATGTCAAAAATCATCTCGAATACAGAATTGGAACTTTGTGTGTCCTGATTAAGATTTCCCGTGCTATATTTGAAAATGCTGGGTCTTGCAATCATCGTCATTTGTATGTATTTATCAACCAACGTGCTGCGCAAACTTATAACTAGTATTCGTGATCCTTCGCTTATCGGGACGTGAAAAAGTAACTTTTCTTTTTTGTCGAGCAGGCGTTCATCGTGTACGCCTGAGATGAGGGAAGCAGCGGTCCAGCAGGGAGAGGAAGCCCCTGAATTCGGAATACGTCGGCGGCGGATGGAGGAGCCTCTCTTTTCCGACCGCATGCGAAGCCCCGAAGTGACTGACTGGGATGCCCTGCTGCCAGGTGAGAGCGGCGCGCTGCCGAAGGGGGGCCACATGAGCGGCGAGCGCCCATTGGCCGCCGTCGAGCATGACGTCGGGCGACGTCGCGGAAAGCGGCGGACTGTTCGGCGGCCGACTGGGCCGCGCGCCGTCAGTTTGACGCGAGAGCCCTAGGTGGAGGTGATACAGGCACCAGCGTCGTCGGCCTTTCCAAAACTGCCCGTCCGATGTGAGTGTCAGTGGGCGCACAGCGGGCTCCTCGATTCGGCGCTGGGGAGTAGCACGCACAGCATGCGCGGCCAGCCGGATTGTGACACCACTGATCTGCTGCTGCCGACCACGCATCTGCTGGGATGTTTTGCCGCTAACGCCACATGCTTATACACAAGTGAGTAGCCGCACACCCGGTGCATTTGTTTTCTGTTTATATTTCACTGCTTTTTTTCTTGTTTGCAACATTTCACGCTATTTCCAATCTTTTCCACCCTTTCTGTGACTAACCGAGACAAAGGGACACGAGAAATGTGTGCCTTTGCGTCGGAAAGTCCTACGTGCAGACGACGCGCCTGATCTCAGCTCGCGATCCTTTGAAATCGAAAGCGTTATACTCCGCGGAGAAGGGGAAAATGACTACGGCAACTAAGATATCTGTTTACCTTCGGGTGATTGCACCTGCCCTTGACGCATTTTGTAGCCATTGAAACCGCGCGGTGACACCGACGGGACAGTGAACTTTTCTCGCCTTCCCCGGTGTACGGCTGCCGCGGGGCCGACAGAATGATTTGTGCTCGTCTTGCGTCTGTCGCCTCCTCACCTCGCACGCACACCTTTTGTGGGTTTTTTTCTTTGTTTTTTTTTTGCACTGTACGTATGTCGTCGTTGTTCACTGCGTTACATGTCAGTTTGGTGTACAATGCATTAAAAAAAACACCCACACGCACGCGGGGCTTGCATTTACACTGCATTGTGATGAAAAGTTTACTAAAAAGCCCCTCCTCCATGTCCTGCATTTTTTTTTTCGACTTTAGTGTGCTACTATTGATGTTTTGCATTGCCGTTTTTAATATCCTATTCATGGCGCTCGGCATCACAGCCGCGTGAGGACTTTTCTAATTGATCACTGGTGGCTGTGCATCCTTTATTTATCTAGCCAAATATAGCGAAAGGCTTTATCTTTAACTTCTCTTTTCTAAGCCGTGGCGTGGTAAGCCATTTCTCTAATTGGTCCTTCCTGCATTCTCGCAAGTCTACTAGTGCACGCCTACTCACGTGGCACGTGCTAAATGTTCGCGCAAGCCTTATTGATTCGCGCCAATATTGACAAGAGCGTCCGCTGTGTGCAAAGGCTCCTGGTGGGGCGTGGAATTATTGCTTCCCAGTGTGTGCGTGCGTGTGTTCAGGAACGTGCCTCTCCATATACGGAACATTGGAGCCCAATGCCGTACGCTGTCACGGCTCGTCGCACAAATCAAACTTGTCTCTCGCCTCTATGCGTACACGCCGGCTGCGAGTGGCTTCCGTGCGACGGTCGGGCTTGCTGCCAGATTTCAATTGGAAGATTACGTGGAGGCCTCTTCCGCAGCTGCCGGCTCGAATGGGACGGCAGTCTCCAGCGGTTGCTCTCTTGTGGAGAGATGCATTCCTCGGCGGCCGCGTGTTAGTGCCATTTTTTTTTCTTCGTTCGAATGCAAAAAAAAAAAACTGGTAACGAGGCAAGACATCAGCCTAAGTAATGCGAAGTTTGCATGGAGAACTCTTCGCAAGGCTGCATGTGAAAGAGTGTTGAGCGCGAAGGACCGCTCTGTGAGACTTTAATTTCCGCATGGGCGACATACCAACAAGCCTTGTTAGCTGCGAAAGACACGCACGTTCTGCTTGAACGAAAAGAGGCACTTTGAGAGCTTCGGGGAGAGAGCACCGCGGGTCCAGCGCGCGAACAGGCAGCACCATTGTTTTGCTGTTCCCCTGAGCGTTCGGAGAAAAACTCGTTGGGTCCAAGGAAAAGAGGCTTCCCTACAACGATGCTGCTTGCCGGGCAAAGCCGATGGCTCGCACCTGTACGGAGCCGCGCTCGGGAGTTCTCGCCGTGCTTGGGGCTATCCACTGGGGCGGTTGCCATCTTCGCAGGTCCTTCTTTTTGTTGCCGTTATTGTTGTCGTGAAGGAGAATATTATCATTGCGCAGTGTGACGGGCTGTCGCAGTGGGCCGCAATTCGGCGTCTATTTACATCGGTGCCAGGAAGGCAGGTATTTACGGTTTCCGGGCGCTATTCTCGCATTCCACGCTAATCTTGCGCGTGCGTGATAAGGCGCCCGACTCGGATGAAGAGGGGGGCTCTCACGCTGGGCCTTCCAATCAACACGGTTTCGCAGAACACGCGGGAACAAATCACGACCGCTGGCAGTGCGGGCGGCGAGAAATAACTGGGGCCCCCGCGCTGGTAGAGGCCGTGATGCCATCATTAGCTGCGACGAGAGTTGAGCATAAAAACGAGGTGCGGCGCCTGGCAGCCGCAGGATGCTGAGCCGAGAAGGCTCAGCGAGCTGAGTTATGGACGGGGCCAACACAGCAGCTGCTACAGCGGGCCGCGAGAAAAAATCCCGACGCATGTATTAGGATGGATGTGACATGCTTGCAGATTGTCTAGCGGGCTGCGTGGCCCAAATGCTGCTTGTCACGCCGGATCGGCCGCTTAAACTAATGGGCCGCCCTTCCTGAAACAAATGGGACGAGCTCTTCTTTTTTATTTGCTTATTTTGCATCTTTCTGGCCACGCGTGGAGCTCCCATTGATGCGCCCACCGGCGCGGGTCCCTCGTAAAACGTCGCGTCGGCCCGGGGCCCCCTTTCAAGGCGCGACCACCGACAGCTCCTGGCCTGGCTTTCCCGCGGCGACCGAAGAGCGAACGACCACTGGCAACGCTAAGTTTGCGCTCCTGACGGATACATTTCAATCAGGGTCCCCCTGCTCTGGCACTGCGCTCATTGTGCCGACGTCGCACCGGGTCCGATAAGCATCGGACTCGTTCCAACACTATGTCACCAAGTTCGTCCTTATCGCGCGGTGCGCAAGGAGGGCCCCGTCTTGGCCTGGTACCCCACGGCGCTTCTTCTCTCCCGCTGACAGGTCGGCCTTTCACGCGTGGTACTCGCTTATGGCGTTGCGCCACTAAAGTAAAATCAGCTGTATTTCTTTCACTACTAGCCAAACACATCATGGCGTACCGACAGGCAACTGACCGTTGTACACGCCCTGATACCGGCAGGTCGGGTTCAAGGAAGAAAGCCGAACAAGCAGCAAGGTGGAAAGGGGGTTCTTTGCTATCTTGAGGTGAAGAGAAACGACTGTCCATAATCGCTGGGACAAATTCTTGATGTGTTTGTGTTATTAAAATCGAATATACCTCGCAATTATTCACATTTTCGCTTGGTTTTTGTGTTCCTAAGGGAGATCTAAATCACGGATGTTCTCAGTAGGCAGCTTGATAGGTCACGCCCTACCAGCCTAACCTGAGAGATTCGAACGCTACTCACAACGTCACTGCATCTTGCCGAATACGCCGAATAATCGTGCTGTGATGTGAAATTCTCTTTTCCAATGCTCGCAGGAGCAGTATTCGACAGTGCGCTTATACAACTTGCGGCGTGCCCTGCTTGTGTGAAGCATCGTCGGTCATGTAGTTCATTTTGCATTCCGCTGCATCGCCCCTCTTACCGAGGGTGGGAAAAACATTCAAAATGCCCACGCCGTCATACCTCGCCAATTCGCAATACGTGTACGTTTATTGGTGGTCTGTAAGAGGTTGCTTCTGTTGAGTCGTAAAAAGAAAAGCGCAGCAAACTGTGCTCTACAAGACTACATTTGAGCAGATAAAAGACCGTGCCAGTTGATAACGGCGTCAAGTGAGAGTCCAGACCTTTAGAGATAACTTGAAGAGCACAAGAAAATTTTCTCCGTGCGCATTTTGTCAGATTAAAGCAGAGAGTCGTGAAATTCTTGAGGGAACGCAAGCATTTTTAGATAATACTCAAAAAGGTTTTGTCCACAGTGATAGCGTTATTCAGCCTGGGTGCATAACACCACGCAGATTTGATGAAATGTTCATTTTCTGGATCAGAAAGAAAACTCACGGAGACAATAAAATTGTGCGCAGCAGGACAAGCAGCTTGCGCCAGATCTGGTCAGTCAACATCATGGAATAAACAAGCGATTTCTGGAAACCATGCACGAGTCACGTGGAAAAAATGTGATGCTGATGTTAAAGTACATTGCAAGCTATATGTATACCAGCATAACTGAATTCTACTTTCGGATCTAGTCTTCATGAAGATCGTCCCTGGGCCGCGAAAAGTTCGCGCACAGGAGAAAGTTTCTTCTCGTTATCGTAGCATAACCGCAGATGGTGTGCACAAACTTGGGTCTAACTTCCACTGACCGTGCACTTGATGCGCATAAGGACGGATGTAAGAATTCTTGCGATTGTCATAGTTGCGAATGATCGGAAGCTGCAAGTCGCATGTCATAGCGCACCTGGGTCACGCTGCTTCTGGGAAGGAACCCCTTTTATTTCTGGGGGGCACTGTTGACCGAGGGCGGCGGCCGAGTTCGTCGTGCGAAGCCCGGCGCCACGGCCTTGGGGCTCGCGCGCACCACCGTAAGATCTCCCCATCTGCATGCATGCAACCTCTGGGAGCGCTCTCACGGGGACCAGAGCGCAGGTTCGAAGGTTCCTCTAGCTTAGGCAAACAGCAGCGCGGGTTCTGGCGGTGCGGGAAACTCGGCTCGACCCCAGCGACCCTGTGGGAGATCCAATGGTTCGCACCCCACGGCTTCCACCGTGGACGGCCGTCGTCATTGGGTCACGCTCGTGTGCCGCATCCGTGCAGTGCCGCGTATACGTCGTGGACTCGCACGTAGCGATCGGTTTCTCTCTCTCTCTTTTTTTTTCCTGCCGCTTTCTCAACCGATTGTAGAGGCTGATATCCTGTCTGCGGATAACTTTGGTCGGTGAAATTCCATCTAGAAAAACGCTCGTCGATTTTCCCGCTGCATGCATCGTAGACAATCATTCGGATGGTTTATCTCAAAACTGTCATTTAAATGTTTATTTTCTTTGCGAAGTCATATGCTGCTTGATTGATGGTCCAGAGTAGCGCAAATCTACGCACTCTTGTTTCATGCAAACGGAGGTATAGGTATTTGCTATTTTATACGCTCATCATGTAGCAGGGTCGACGTTCTCGACTGTGCGTTCTTGGTGCCCGCCAAATCAGAGATTTGACTAAAATTTGATCAAATGGAAGCGGCCTGCAAATGCCTGAGCTTTCAACGCGGAATGAAATCAAACTTCATGCAACGTGAACAATGAGACATATGACGAAAAAAAA